TCTCTCTCTCTTTCTTTCTTTCTTTCTTTCTTTTTTTCTTCCCCAACAAAAAATTGTTTATTACTTGATTACATATACAAAAAATTTTAATTTAAATGTATATTTGTATATATAAGTGAAAACTCAATTCAATGTCCATTGTATTGATGGTCTTTCAGCCATATATACGGCACTAAAATTAAATTATTCTCGTATATCAAGAAATGGTTGACTCTTTCCTCTTCTTCCGTCTATTCTTTATATCATATATAATATTAATGATTAAATCAAATGAATGACTGAACACATCATTCGACAGCTTCTTCGCCTTCTATTAGGTCATAGAGTCGTTGCGAAGACACTATATATCTGGCCGTCACTGAAAACAGTTCATCAATTATTATTGTCTCCCAAAAAACTCGAGCAGAATATTCCGTTCCCTTCCTATTCATCCATTCTTTACAAACATTGTTTGGGTTATTATTTTTCTCAAAAAATATACAGTATTTTTCTATTATTATATTTTAGAGACGTATAGATTAAATGCCTTTTAAACAATCTATCATTTGTTTGTAGTTTCGCCGTAAATACGAGGAATATATTGCTGTCAAATGAGATAAATTATCATAAATTTGAATCATTGTTTTAATATTAAACGACAGAATAGTATTGCTAGCACTAAAAATGTATAATTGAATTTGTTTTTTAAAAGCTTATATTGTTTTTGATATGAAAATAGCATTTATATATGAAAGTTAAATATTACATTTTTGAAAAGTTTTTGCAACAATTTTTATTATCAATAAAATCAAATACTTTAGTGAATCCCTCATCAATTATTTTCCCAATTGTAGACTCAAAGTGTAATAACTGGTGAGTTGTGTCTCCTCTAGCCATGAGGAATGCCATCAAAGAATCCAATGAAAAACATATGAAATATATAATAATTGTGTTACGAATGTGCGTTAATGTATTTCAAAGCCTTTTTTAAAAATGTATCAAAAATAAGATTAATTCATATACTGTTACGCGAAATGTCATTCAAACTCAACACTTTTGCCGGTATTTCATTTCGACAGATATTCCTGTGTAGAAATAGTTGCCCAAAAAGTTTTTCAATTGAATTAAGCCGTGAATTGGTTTATATTCATCTCAAATAATGGCATTAAATAAACATTTACTATATTTTTTGGTAAATCATAAGCAATACTTACGATCCAAATGCAAATTAATGTCAATACATGCATACAATACAACTGTTTTAAATTGAATTCATATGTGATTTAAATATAAATTTGTGAATTAAATAATGAAATTTATTCAACATTTATTGCCATAAATGAATGACTAAATCCATGCATTCCTATGTTTATCCATTTTTCCCAATATTTTGTGAATTAAACAAATATTTTTCCATAGAATCCAAAGAAAATATTAACGAAAAAATAACTCACATTTTCAATAATATTCATATATTCAATGGAAAAGTGGAAATTCCATATTAATTGCAGTAAAAAAATTAATAAATTTTGATTTATTGAAAACATTATAAATTATTAATATCAGAGAACCAATTGGGGATTTGAGATGACATTTATTAAAACAAATCTAATATTTATTCACACAATTATGTTATGATTTTAAAATATAAATAAAATTTTAAACTAATCACAAATTAAAATATAAATTATGAAAATACAGTTAAAAGCTATTTATTCGTCATATAATATGAATGAATTGTTAAAAAAACATTTGGCATTACATACGGATTAATGGATATTTAAAAACTACAATTATCTATACATACAGTAAATATATAAAAAGCTTACAATTCATTAAAACATATATTTTGCGTATTTATTAAATTAAAATATTATTAATTATAAGAAAATCAATGCTTCGACAGCTTCTCCAGAACCTAAGAGTGAGAGACAAACAAAACAAAATGATAAAATACAAAAACATTTAATTAATTTCTATAAAAATAAAACCAACAAAAATCACTCGCAATTCTTGCGACCATTATATCAAAAAAATCAAATAAAACACATGAAAACATACCTGAGATAACTGTTTGATCCGATTTGGCGTCAAATTGTTAATCTGAGAGATGAGTGCATTCTGTGAATCGCCGCGCGGTCTGACGGCCGGAGCCTTAAATATATAAAAAGCTTACAATTCATTAAAACATATATTTTGCGTATTTATTAAATTAAAATATTATTAATTATAAGAAAATCAATGCTTCGACAGCTTCTCCAGAACCTAAGAGTGAGAGACAAACAAAACAAAATAAATATCATTAATAATATTATGGCAACAAAATGATAGAATACACAAACATTTAATTAATTTCTATAAAAATAAAACCAACAAAAATCACTCGCAATTCTTGCAACCATTATATCACAAAAAATCAAATAAAACACATGAAAACATACCTGAGATAACTGTTTGATCCGATTTGGCGTCAAATTGTTAATCTGAGAGATGAGTGCATTCTGTGAATCGCCGCGCGGTCTGACGGCCGGAGCCTTTGAATCCATCAAATAGCGGTGACTTAACAGCTCTTTAGTGGTCGGCCTCTTATTCGGGTCCCGTTGAAGACATTTCTACACAACCAGTGGTTAAACACATATAAACACAGAAATAAAAGCAAATAATTATCTCGTAATTAGATTTTTGGTTCAGAGGAGACAAGGGTTTAAACATTTATGGGCACAACGTTTGGGGCAAAAATTTAATTATCAATATATGAAATGAATTAACATTAAAGGCTCGCAAAAGTGTTTGCAATAAAGAGAATAACAACTCAATTACATAATTGCTTCGCTATTCCGGTCCTAAAGGGCTGTTGTGCTGATGGACTCAATCATTAGTGATAGACTCACTTCTAATGACTTAAATGATTATTCGAGAGCAAAGAGTTTGTGAAGAGTTGGGAGAGAGAGAGAGAGAGAAAGCAAAAACTCAATTTCGAGATAAAACTATTGCAAAAGAAATAACAATTAAGAGTAAATAAAAACAAATTTAATTCCTGCGAATAAATGGTGAAAACAATTTGATTTCTCAATAACATTGCATTTGTATATAACGTTGTATTGAAATGTTTCGATACGATTCTGAGATTAGAGGCACAGAATTGAGGTAAAAATAGCGAACAGATTATATGTAAAGACATAAGCAGTGAAAGAGAGGAAGAGAAGTGAATCTAACATATTATTGATTCAATCAAAATGATTGCAAACTATATATTATATTAACGAATGAATGGGAGAGAGAAAAAGAGGGGAAACGACATGAAAAATAGAGAGATTTAATGGCATTCGAGTGCAACAGATCCTGAATTTATCATTAAGAGAGCAAAAGTACTGGTAATTAGATTCCGGGCGCAGAGAAAAATATATTAGTCAATACCAGGAGCGCTAGTACTGAGCGAGTAGTGGTCATTGAGTCGGTAAACAGACAAATAGTATACAAACCTGTATACAGTCGAGCAGCAAATGGTCATCGATCGGGGGATAATTAATCTGATGGTTTGGGTCGAGTATAGCGCTGGCCTTCTGGAACAGATGGTTCAGGTGATGGAATGGTGTCCGCCCGTAGACCAGTGTATACAGAATACAGCCCAGACTCCACACATCGGCTTTGCAGTTGTATTTGATTACTGTTTTACCCCTGATGTCCGACCGGTTCTGGAGAGCTTCGGGCGCCATATAGTTGATCGTACCTAACATTGCATTTCACAAACCATTAACTCATTTGATTAATCAATGCAATTGATTAATGCATTCAAACGAATGCATAGAAAATAAACAAAACAAAAACTAATCAAATGTTATACCAATCTGTGACTCCTTAAAAACGGACGTATCATTGGCTTGAATAGCGTTGGCAATGCCGAAGTCAATTAGCTTCAACTTTCCGGCCACTAGTATAAAGTTGACGGGCTTTAGGTCGGAGTGGACGACACCCTTGGCGTGTATTTCGTCCACCGATTTGAGCATTTGTTGCCAATAGAAGCGAACCAAATGCGGATCGAGTGAACGCTTCTCTTCGGACTCCATGAACGACTTGAGCACATTGTTGAGGTCGGAGTCGCCCT